AGCAACCAAAGTTAAAGGGGCAACCGAACTATTTGAAAATTTCCTTAAAATTGATGAAGATAAATGCGTACCACCAACTGAAGAAAAACAATTGGGAGAAACATCTCAACAGCAAGCACCACAGGAATTGAAACAATAAGAACAAACTTCAAGCTTGGCAAATTCATAATGCAGCGACTCAACAATGAACGAACACCACTCATTAAATTAAGAAAAAAATGCCTTGCAGATTAAAAATTTTTTTAAATAAATCTTAAAAAAGCATATAATAATAAATAATAAATAATAATAGCAATGAATTAGATTTTAAAGAATATAGTAATTATATTTTGCTTTTAAATAAAAAATATTAATTTAAAATAGCATTGATGAATGATGACTCAAAGAGATAAATAAAATCTGAATGGATAAACGATGATGGAACGAATCGTGATCCTAATCATTCAATAACGCAAAGAAATATGTTGTGATGCGTGGCGTTTTAGACCACCACATGCAATCTAGACTACCGCATGTTTAAATTGTATTCCACAATAAAATATTTGATTATTCTCTAACTTTGATAATGTGACATTTTGTAGTCATGAAATCAAATTTTAACAAATTATGTCAATCAAAACTGTTATTTTTTTAAATCTATACATATTTAATAAATGCAATCAAACTTATTAATGCTATGAATTTATAGTATTAAATAATTTTGAATAAAAAAAAAAATTTACAAGATTATTTATAGTGTGCTCTAGATGTAAACCGTCAGCGAAGCTGACGGGTTACACCTAGTAAATAATTAAAACTACCTAGAAATTAGTGTGCAAATATTTATGCAAATTTATCCAATTGTAATTATACAGTGCTATAAAACTTTAAATTTTCTTTTTATGTATTACTGTTGTATGTGAAATTGAAATTATGTGAAATTCAAATTTACATGCGTGAAATTCAAATTAGCCAATCAGAATCTCACCCCACTCCATATTTCAATTTCACATAATAACAAGATTTTAAGTTAAACGTCACGGTGAGTGAGCGAGCGGAGTGATAATGACGTAACGATAACAACAACAACAATAATAAAATAAATACACGAATTTATTTGTAAATAAATAAATATAAATATTAATATTAAAACGTTACTAAATTTTTTAATTGCAAAAAAAAATTACAAATGCAAGTAGAAATATTAGGAAAAATATTGATTCGTTCCACAACATGATAAATTGAATGAATGACTGATAGATCTATTTTTCATTATTACTATATATTAATTTTTTTTACTGCGGTACTTATTCTAAGTTTCCCAATGACCGAAAATATCGATGACTTTATATTGTTTGCCAGAAATTTGTATTTGTTATTTAAATTCTGATACGTTACGAATACTTCGGTTTGGATGTTCTTGTTTCTAGTTACTTGGTTATAAAGATTTCGCTTGATCTTGAAATAATTTTTTTCTGCATCTTGAGTATGTAGAGTAGCTGGACCTGAAAACAGTAACAAAGGATCATAATATTCTACATCTTCCGGTTTTAAATTATCATCATCGTCAATTATTATCGTTTGAATGAGGGAGATCTAAAGTTTTTTTTTCTCATTATTTATTTTGTTTTATATCACGAAAATAAAAAAAAGATGTGATACAAAAAAAAAAAAAATAATAAAATATTTTTATTACACATACATATTCCACGTTGTTTTCGTATACATGCCGACCTACTATATAGACTATCGTACCC